TATTCAATATTTGTTCAGTTATATTTTCTGTAAAGCTTTTCTGGCCAAATCTTTTTTCTTTAATGCGGACAGAAGTGTTTTTTGCTGACTCGGGGCTTATCTAGTTGTATTTACTTAGAGTTACAAGAATGTCGGAGGTGGAGTCACATTTTCCCACTTGCTCCACGGCAGTGAAAACACTTAAGGCATTTGCTTTAAAAATCTGACAAATATAAATTAAAATATTTTAGGTGTATTTAATATTTTTAATGTATTTTCCTGTATGTATGTGTACCACATGCATGCCTGGTACCCTCAGAGATTAAAAGAGTGGGTCCCAGTCCCTGGACCCGGAGTTATAGATGAATATGAGCTACCATGTGGTACTGGGAACTGAACCCTGGTCCTTTGCAACAGTAACAAGTGTTCTAACTGCTGAGCCATCTCTCCAGCTCCTGACAAACATAATTTTAAAATATCTTTTAGGCTATGAGCATACTATACATATAAAAGTGACTGTGTATATGGGTGTGTGTATGTGTGTTCGTCTGTATCTGAGTGCACACCTATGTGGGTCTGTATCTCTCCATGTGTTTAATTTGATCCATGGTTTTTTCATCTCTTTTCAGGATTACAGACTTATCATCACCATATAAACCTTTTATAAAGCATCATGAAGTTATGACATTAAGTCAGAAAATTTTCTAGGGAGTAATATGTAATGAGACAGAATTAAAAAGTAATTTTGAGGGGTCCACTTATTATCTTAATAATTGCAATATACATCTGCACTTAATTTCAAGGGCAGGGAATTGGCTTTGTAGTCAGTACTTGAATACATTTTCAAGATGTAGGTCACCCTTACATACTCTATCACTCAATTTAATTTATAACTTGGACAACAATGCTGAATTTTCACACACTGAAAGATACCCCAGAAGCAGAATGGAAACTATCATTTAAGCAACCAACCTTTATTGTATTTAGATTTTCTTTTATGTTAATAGAAAAAAACGGTAATAGACTGAAAACTTAAGTATGCTTTTTTTATGCAAAGGTACATGATTGTAGTATATTTTCTATATACACCATAGCCAATTAAGCCACGTAGTTTGAGGACTGTATTGGGTGTGCACCAAAATGCAGTGCTGTGAAAAGTGTTAGCATTCTAACTTCTCTACAATTATTATGTTCTTTGAGCAAGGACAGAGCTGAAATTCTGAGTGTACTTCCTATAAACATTCTGAATTGCAGCTTTAAACTACACCTGAGTCTTATATTTTACCCCGTATGGATATAAAGCTTCACTTTTACTCTGTACTTCTCATTAATCTGCCATGCCTCCCCACTTTCTTTTAAAGTACTAGGAGTTTCTGGCCTTTTCTCACAGTTGGAGTTTATAACTCAATGTTTTTCGAGACAGGGTTTCTCTGTGTAGCTTTGGTGCCTTTCCCAGAACTCACTCTGTAGTCCAGGTTGGCCTCGAACTCACAGAGATCGGCCTGCCTCTGCCTCCCACGTGCTAGGATTAAAGGCGAGCACCACCACCACCCGGCTCCATATTTTTATGTCTTAAAGTAATCCTAGTCGTTTTAGCAGCAGCCAGCTCTCACCTCTCAATAAGCCTGATTCTCTATGGTTACATTTTTGACTTCTATCCTAAAAACTATTTCAGAACTTAACAAAACAAACGGGTGTTATGTCAAGTCGCTGTGGGTTGTTTCATCCAGGTAGGTCTATTGGCAACATCTCGAGTCACTGTGGGGATTCATTTATGTCAGAGCATGGCCAGGGCTGTATCAGCTTTCTGCCAGTGGACAAAACTCCTGAGATCATCAACTCAAAGGAAGAGTGGTTTCTTTCAGCTCAGCATTTCAGATGTTTACATCCACGTTGGTTGAATTGTTGCTTTGGGGCCTGTGGACCTCATGGCAGGGCCTCATGGCAGGACCTCATGGCAGGAACTGGCCAGGAGGATTACTTTAACATATAAAAATAGTTATTACAAACTCAAACACCATGCAGGAAACTCCGCATGTCACAGTGGCAGAGAACCAAGCTACAGAAGTGGATAGGTTCCCAGTGACCCAATCAAGAATCCACCCTCAGTAATAGAACTTCTTCACTGAGACCTTACCTCTTATAGGCCCCAACTGGTCAGTTTTAGGCCTCCTGAAGGCCTCTCCACCGTCGCAACAAATTGGGTCGCAACAAACCCAATCGGGAAACGCCCAGGTTTAATGGGTAAAGCACTCCTGGGCGATTCCTCTGCCTGCAGAGAGGAGAAGGGGACCAGACCGGAAGAACCACAAGTCTGTTTTCGGGAATGCAGCTTAGATATCTATCCCCCTGAGCCTCTCTGGGGGAGGAGCTGTGTTTGGCGGGCTTTGAAGGGGCGGGTTTAGGGAGGAGCTGTGTGAGGTGAACTCCCACCCAAACACCAACATCTTCCAGCAGTACCACAGGCCAAGACTTTAACACATGGTTCTGGGGACACCAACCCAAACCATAGCAGGTTGGAGGCCAATACAACACACCCATACCATTGCCTCAGTGTGGGTGATTAGTATGGTTTGGAGATACTTAACTTCCCCTCCCATAGGGTACTCTCTCATCATTCAGTATTCTGGTCTGAGTTACTTGACATGGTCCCTGGAATCCTTGGTGACCATATTTATATACAATCTATTCTTCTAAATACAGAAGAATGATTCCAAATGGACTATTCCAGTTAACTAAGATCCTGAGGCTTTTAAATTTTTTTATGTTTAATAATATGATGGGATATTTATAATTACAGAGTGTAGTTGATCTCAAACCCTACATCTATTGACTAGAAGATGAATCTTCTCCTCCTCCTCCTTTTTTTTTTTTTTTTTTTTTTTTTTTTTTTTTTTTTTTTTTTTTTTTTTTTTTTTTTTTTGAGACAGAATCTTTGTATGGGGTCCTGGCTGTCCTGGGGCTCACTATGTGAATCAGGAAGACCTTAAGCTCACAAAGATCCACCTCCCTCTGCCTCTCAAGTGCTGGGATTAAAGGTATGTGCCACCATGCCTGGCCCATGGATATTCTTAAGCAATCAAATTCGCGGGGCTATGAAGTTACTGCATGGGTTGCAGCTTGGCTCTGTGAGGTCCTAGTAGTTGGACTCTGGGCATAGTTTCCTTCTAGTCTTTCTTTTCGTTCTTTGTATTTATAGGATTAAGTGAATGGGCAGATGCAAAGATTTTAGGCATGTGCTGGCCCGTAGTAAGTATACAGGCAGCATTACCTTTAGAGCGTAAGTGATCATCGCCTGTCATTATAACACACAGTACCACCAGCTAGTTAGTACCTCTCGGAGCCGTAAAGTGCCCTGCATTATCCTTAACTGGTGCTCATTAAACGTGAGACTTCCTCTGCTCCCTAACCCTGACAAATAAAACATGGGAAGCTAGTCTGACTTTTCCACAACACAGCCTAAGTCACAACCATTAGAAAGGAGTGATTTATTGACTTAAAAAAAAACCCAGAAAAACAAAACAAAAAAAACACCTCACAACCTGTACTAAGTAAGAAATATATATAGTCTACATTATAACACAAGACATGGAACACAGACACACAGACACACAACACAAACACACAGATTCCCACAAAGTGTACTCAGCACATGTTTTGGGAATGGTTTGGCTCTATTCTATTTCAACGAATCAAAACAAAACAATGTTGGTTGTGACTCAGTATTATTAATTTTATTGTTGACCAGAAGGATTCTGAGCTACATCTTCTTGTGTGTTGGGAATAGGAGATGAAACAGACTTTGGGAACAAACATTGATTCAGGTGTGGTGTTGTAAGAATGTGACAAGTACAGTTTCCTTACTAGTCTGTTAAGTTATAGAGGAAAAAGCTCATTCCCAATCAGGAAATTCCTACTCAGAAGGCTTCATAAATTCTTTCAGTGGGGTATAGGAGCTGGAGGGATGGCATATATACATTGTCATAGCTTTTTGATGCTGTAAAAGTGAAATGCTTTCTAAATGGAAGCCCAGATCCACAACTTATGTTTTGAGTAAGTGATGTAGAAAGAATTTTTAAGTCTTGGTTCATTGATTCATTAAAGTAGCATATAGATTTCTACTTGAGAATATATGCCTTAAGATAGTGATGCTTTGAATGAGAATGCCACTTCTCTCCCACAGGCTCATGTATTTGAATCCTTAGACACCAGGTAGTGGAAGTGTTTGGGAAGGATGGGGGTGTGGCCTTGGAGGAGGTGTGTCACTAGGGGTGGGCTTTGAGTTTCAAAGGCCCTAGCCAGGCCCAGCAATGTCTCTTGTTCTCTGCCTGTTGCCTGCGGCTCAGGATGTAAAGTTCTCTGCCAGTGCCCCAGCTCCACGCCTGTATGCTTCCCACTGTGATGATCATGGACTACCCTCTGAAACTGTAAGAAAGCCCACAATTAAATGCTTCCTTTTACAAGAGCTGCCTTGGTCATGGTGTCTCTTCACAGCAGTAGGACAGTGACTAAGACAAAGACCAAGAAAAGTGTTGGGAGTTTAGAAGGCGCTCAGCTGTTTCCTGTTTCTTTCCCTTTCCTGGGTCACAAGCATCAGAAGTCCTAACTCTTTTTTAGGTTGTGTGTTTTGTGTTTTTGGAAGGAAGCTGAAATTTGATAGCATAATTGCCATAATCAAACCCTACTACTTCATTGCAATTTAATTTTTGCTACCATAAATTTTCCCAATAAGTAATAGTTAATAGTTGCTAATTATTCAGATATGGATTTGAAACATAAAATAATAATGTATTCTCAGATGGCGTATACTAAAATTTGTGTCAATTTCTCAGTTACCCAGACAGTTTTGCAAAAGATAAAGTTCCTAACAGATGAGGAAAAGCATTTGTTACAGTGCTAGTAATTTGAAAAAAGAAACTGGCATGTAAAATGCAAGCGGTACTCTTCTTCTTGGACAGATCATTCAGGGCTGCAGAATTCGTAATGATGCCCCTGCCTACAGGATTTTTATGATCAGTTACCTGGTTTCTAGGAGTCAGTGAAGATCCCCATGGTCCTAGCCTGATGCAAGTCTAGCAGGGGGCTGGTCATTTCAAACTGCCTCCTGAATGGTTGGGATTCCGTGTGTGTGACTTGAGGGCGGAGGCGCTGACACATTTTTTCCCTCCTCCTCGGGTGCCACTTAGCCTCTGGCTGCGGACTCGGCAGCTCCCACGTGGCAAGGCCAGATTGAGCAATGCGGGGCTGGAGCCACCGAGGAGGCGACCCGGGGAGCGTGCCGGCTGCGGCCCTTCCTCCCCGCGCCGGGGCGCCG